TCAGAGAATAGACTAGAATGCTCTATCCAATGCTATCCCAAAGAAACTTAACATGAGCCATAAATGTAATTTTGATTTTTAAATTTCCTAGTAGGAACATTTTTAAAAACATTTGAATTTTTTTAAATTTTGTTTTGTTTTGTTTTTGTCTTTGCTTTTTATTTGTTTGTTTATCTGTTTGTTTGAGACAAGGGCTCACTATGTAGTTCAGCGATCTTCCTGCCTCAGTCTCCCAAGTGCTGGGATTATAGGCATGCACCACCACACCCAGCTCTTTGAAATGAATTAGAAGGCATTCATCTAATACCTACATCCAAAATATCATTTTGTGCCAGACATGGTGGCTCAGGCCCGCAATCCCAGCACTCAGAAAGCTGAGAGAGGGGGATTGCCATGAGTTCGAGGCCAGCCTGGACTACATGGTAAGAGCCTGTCTCAAAAAACAAAAACAAACAAAGAAAAATCAGTGTGTGTGTGTATGTGCGATGTGGTATTGGGGACTGAATTTCGGGCCTCACACTGAGCTACAATCCCAGCCCTTCTGATTTTTTATTTTGAGAAACAGTCTTGGCCAAGTTGCTCCATGACCCAGGCTGGGCTCAATGTTTCCATCTTCCTGCCTCTGCCTACCACAGTACTGGGATTACAATCATCCACCACCACGCCCGGCTCAAAGTATCATTTCAACATGTCGAACTAAAAAATTAATGAGATATTTTCCATTCTGTTTTGCATACTATACCTTCACACCTGGTATGTCCTTTATACATACTTACATGGCAATTGGGACCTGAATGCTACAGATAGAGAAAGGCTACATGACTTGGTAAACTGCGGGACCAAGCGAGGACACTTACTTCCTAACTCCCGGTGGAGGCTTCTCTCTGAGCGCTCTACCTCACACCCATGTTTTATGTCCACGAGACACAGAAGAATATCAAATTACTGCCGGCCACAAATGCAAGGGTCGAAGTCACTGTCGGGAAACTACAGAAAAGAGCACGCAGGAGTGTCTGAGGCAAAGATACACGGGGCCTAATCAGGAGAATGGATAGGCTGGAACATTTTGTTGTGACAAGTTCAGGAACATCACATGTTGACACGTGTGCCTGATTACTGGCTCCGACATTAACCACACTGAAAAGCAACTGTGAAGACACAGCAATGCACAGCCACTGAGACGTGCTTGAGAATGCAGCCTACGCGATCCCTGGCAGAATTCCCACGACCGCAGCCTGCGCTTCGTGGCAACAAGTAAGAAGCAATCTGAGTGACTAAGATAAGATACAATGTCTGGAACGTGCTTCAAATATTTTGGCAAGGGGAGAGGGGTTTAAGACAAAACTGGCAAGTGCTAATAATTTGGTGATGACTACCAGGAAATTCATGAAATTATTCTACCCCTATATGTGCCTGGAAGTTTTCATTATACAGGTTTTTTTTTTGAAAAGCAGTAAAGAGGGAAGGAGTAATCTTACAAAAAGGTCTTCTAGAGCCCTTAGACTAATAAATAAACTGTAGCATTCCAGCAGTAACTCCAAGAGCTTGAAAATGTGCAGACATTTCAGTTTTAAGAAAGCGGCCTAGGCCAGGAGTGTAGCTGGCGGGGGGCCGGTGGGGGCAGAGTAGAGCACATGCTCTGTGTGCTGCAGGCCCTGGGTACAAACTCCAGCATTAACACAAAAAGCAGACTCAGAAGTCAGAGGGGACATGAGGAAGGGGAAATACAATTACAACCACATCAGTGAGAAAACTGTCGGCAATGCAACATACAGCCTTCCAAACGCCTTCCTAATCACATACATATCTGTGTTGAAATGCAGAATATACTTGATCTTATCCCTGGTAATAACCTTGTCATTTCCTGAGTGATAAGGGTCTTCTCTAATTTGTAAGCCCCTCTGGATTACAACTGAGGCTGTGCTAATTAGGTGACTTACAAAGTGGGGCCCCAGGTCAACCCAGAATTAGGCTGGTCTCCTGAAAGACCAAGTTGAGAGGGTTAGACAGCTGGAACCTTCAGCCCACCCACCACCGTCCAGTGATGGGGTGTGGGGAGCTGTGAGGATTAAGCGCCATTAAAAACAACTCTTGCCAGTCCCAGGCATACACATCTGTAATCCCAGCACTCGGGAGGCTGAGGCAGGAGGATCATGGCAAGTTTGAGGCCAGCCAGGGCTACAAAGTGAGTTCAAGACCAGTCTAGTGAATTGATAGGAAAGCACTCAAAGGTAAAGGGTAACTGGGATATGAGAAAAGAGAAGGGAAAGAAGGAGAAAGTTTGTATGTATGTACATGCAGGATAGTTAACATGGCTGTTCTACTGTCTTGTATTTCCTTGCTGAAAGAAACTGTCAATGAGTCCTTGGTGGATCAGCTTTGTATGTCTATATCTGTTTGCATGAGAAACCACTTTGAAGATATCAATATGTAATACAACAAGCATTGTTAATTCCCTACCACTCTGTTTGTAACTCTGTACTGTCTGTACTGATCCTTTGCTATTTTGTAAAATGGTGCCTGTCTGTTAGTATTTTCCTCCTTTTACTTTTAAAATAAAAAATAAAAAATAAAAAAATAAAAAAAAAGACCAGTCTAAACTGCATAGTGAGACCCTGTCTCAAAAAGATTTAAAAGAATAAATAAATAAATAAATAAGCCTATAATCACTGCTTTTCAATTAATGTGAAGGCACATCTTAATTTATGCACAAGTTTAATTTCAGCCATGCATTTGCCAGTTCAAAGGATAAATTTTTTTCCATTCATTTTTGATTATGTGTTGGCAAATAAATGAATTTGGTTTCAAAGCTTGGCAAACAGAAAGAGAAACAAAGTTGGCTGATTTCTGCGACAGTTTCTGTCTCTGGGCATTCACATATGTGGACACGCACAGAGCAGTGACCATCTGCTCCGCTAAGAAAGAAAGAAGATCCTGTTTTAGGTGTTAACTGATGCTGGACAACACGATTTCCCCATCAACACCAAATACAGTTCATGCCTCGGTTTAAAGAGTTCTTGAGCCTGGATTTTTACTGCATCACACTTCCTGAGGCTATTATAAATGGCTTTCAGTTCAATGATTATAGATGAATTGTAAAAATGGTAAATTATAAACAAGGACAGTTTCATAACTTTTGGAATCTTTTATACTACTTACATCCCATAAATTTAGAACTGGGTGTGATGCCTGTAATCCCAGGCTGACGCAGGCCAATCACCAAGCCCGGGAGTTTAAGGTCAGCCTGGACAACACAATGAGACCCTGTCTTTTAAAAAAAAAAAAAAAAAAAAAAATCACAGCTTATGTTACTTCAGACACAAGTTCAAGCAACACAATGATGCAATTCCTAGTGTTTATTTCTTTCTGAGATCTATGCTATTATTGCCTTTTTCAGAAGGTTACTCCAGCCTGGTAACCTCCTGGGAAAAATCACACTACCTGCATTTTTGCTCTATGGAAATAGTACTGAAATATTCTCCAGCTAAGTACAAAACAAAACTTCAGACTCAATCTAACATCATGTTAATCTTACAGTCTGACAACGTGTCCTTTTCCCTGTTTTCTTCTACTTTTATTTATTACTTACTTATTTTTAAAACATGTTCTCATACATAGTCCTGGCTGTCTTTGAACTCATGATGCACCCCAGACTGGCCTCAGACTCACCTTGATCTTCCTGCCTCAGCCTCCCAAGTGCTGGAATTACAGGCACACACCACCATGCTGGGCTGACAACACACCATTTAGGCCAGCAGGAATCTCTCAAGAGAAAAATTATAGTAAGAAAAGGGGCACCCGGCCGGGTGGGGTGGCGCACGCGTGTAATCCCAGCATTCGGAAGGCTGAGGAAGAAGGATCATTGCCAAGTTTGAGACCAGCCTGGGCTACAAGGTGAGCTCAAGGGCAGCCTGAACTGCATAGTGAGACCCTGTCTCAAAAAGACCCAAAAAAAAAAAAAGAAAAGGCACCCACTTATAAATGCTCAGGTAGAAGCAAGCACCTCAGTGCAGCCATGGCGCCCAGGACTGTGCCCTGGAAGCGGGGACCAGGGAACTGCGCTGCGGGCTTCGGAGACTGAATCACTGAAGCCAGAAAAGCAAAAATACTGTTCCGAGGTCCTCTCCAAACTGGAATGCTGATATCTGGGAAAACTAATCCCCTACTAACTTTAATCTACTCAAAACAGATTCCAAAAAATTTTTTATCTTCAGGCTGGAATGCAAGCTCAGTGGTAGAGCACAGGCTCAACATACACCAGACCCTGGGTTCAATCCTCCGTATCCAAATAAAAATTCTTCTAAACCTAGCACATATTAGGACAGAACATAGCACATTAATTCACTCCTGTTGAGTAACTGAGCTAAGTCTATCCTGCCATAGTGGCAGTAATTATCCTTCAAGGACAGATAAGGAAGTTGAAAAGCAGAACCCAAGTAGACATTCACTGAACGCAGTGAAGAGCAACCTCAGGGAGGAAAGAACTAGCAGACACAGGAAAGTATGAAACATAAAAATTGAGTCAGACACCCTCAGAAAGCTCAGGAAATCAGAAAATTATTATTATCAAACAAATAGCCAGGGGCCAGGGATATAGCTCAGAAGCACAAGCACCTGCCTGGCAAGCGCAAAGTCGTGAGTTCAATTTCCAGTACAAAAAAAAAAAAAAAAATGCATAAGACAAATAGCCAGTTAGCTGAGGTTTCAATTCCTCAGTTCTCCCAGTCAGAGGACACATTCTCACCAGCTCCGCTGTCACTCTGTCCAATCTGGAGACCCCACAGCTGGGCTCTAGCACATGAAGAGTCGGTGCACACAGTGCTCTTCCGTCTCTCCCAGGACGCCCTCCCCGGCACGCTCATGAGACCAGAGAGATTCTTCTGCTGTTAACCTCATACGGAGGTCAATAGCATTCAAGTTTGGTTACCGCACAGAATTCACCAGGTAGGGACTGTCGGGGACCCATGAAACCCCGACTTCCTGAGGACGCTGGAACTCACCAAGGGCATGGCTACAACTCCGACAGGACTCGGTGAGGTTGACGATGATCTGCTGCAGATCGGCTCTGGGGGGAGTGGGAGAAGGGTTGGGGTTCTTCCAGCCATTACATTTACAGGACTCCTCAGCCTAAAAAAAAGAAGAGAGAGAGAAAGGAAATTCGGCAACAAGCAGACACGGACTGACTGACGTGAGAACAGTACACACAGGTTGTATGGCAGCTGACCCCCTCCACACAGCCCACTTCAACGTCTGCAAAAGAAACAAACGCCTCAGCTGTAAAGATACCAGAACTGTGCTAGCGGGACTGAGAGAATGAGCACCTGGACCCCAGTCCACCAGCTAATCCTTAAAGGCTGGGCTCCCCTTTTCGCAGGTGGGTCAGTCTGAACCCCTGTATGAGTGTGCCCCCTCCAGCTACCTAAGATGGAGCCATTACTATCTTCCTTCTGACTTTCCATTTAGAAGGTTTTCCTGTAGAAAAGGAAGGAAAGGGGAAGGAAAGGGAAAGGGAAAGCAGAAAAGGAGGGACAGAGGGGTAGCTCAGTGGTACCGCACCTGCTTAGCACGCACAAGGCCCAGTATTCAACCTCCAGCAAAGGGTCGGGGAGGGGCTACACCACTGCCCCAGAGGGGGTCCATGGAGTGGCCAGCTCCGAAACAGTCCACTGCAAAAGCTTCCCAAGACAATGAGCATGTTCCTGAGGTCCCACAAACATAGCTAAGGCAAAAACAGCTAAGGTGTGGGGTCGGGGGGGACTTTGCAAGCTCTAAGGCTCCAGCTACAACTCTGCCCCAGGGCCAAAGGGCAACAAAGGAGCCTGAAGTGGTTAGAAAGTCAGGGCGATGGGATGGGTATACTCAGCCAAAGCCACATCTGTAGGCTCCTCCACCAAGCCTTCTGTGGATTCCTAGGTTTAAAAATGAAGAAGACAGCTTCATGTATCTGAGGTTTCTACCTAGGTGTCTTTCCCAGGTTTCCTATACTCGAATATGCTATTATACTTGATAGAAATCTTCTTTAATGCTGAGTGTGGTGGTGCACCCCTGTAATCCCAGCACTCGGGAGGCTGAAGCAGGAGGATTGCCATGAATTCAAAGCCAGGCTGGGCTACATAGTGAGTTTAAGGGTAGCCTGAACTACACAGCAAGACCCTGTCTCAAAAAACCAAAAAAAAAAAAAGAGAGAGAAGAGAAAACCTCCTTAACTTTGTTCACATACTCTTCCTACCTCCCTACCTTTGTAGACAAGAATGAATGTGGTTTCACCTTTCTGCAGTGATCTGGGCTTGGAGGCAGAGGGCAGGCATGGAAAGGCTACCTCGTGCTCTACCGGTTGCCATGCAGGGCTTCCTGCAGTCCTGGGACTGTTATGTTTGCACTGCAAGATCCCTGATGCGTAAGCCTTCAGCCCTTTCCCTACTATTCTCTACCTCACTGTCACTCTCACCGGGCATTTGGTCTTCCATTCTATGGCCGGGAAGCCACATAATCAAGGACTGCAGTAACATGTAACACACAGACTTCCTAACAGCCTTCTATGTGCGCTGTTCGATAAGGCACCCACCAGCCACAGATGGCTACTCAGTCCCTGCAACCTACCTCATCCAAACTGAGCCTCTCTCCGGGTGCAAACTGCACACCAGATGCAGAAGACGAGAGCAAAAAGAAAATGCAAACGATCTCATTCACGTGTATACTGACTACGTACAGTGGCACGTCGGTTCATGAGTGCTTTTGTTTGTGAACAATAATTTGGTTCACAAACAGAAGCATTTGGCCAAATTTTGATTTTGTTTGCAAACTCCCCATCGGATGACAAACATGAGTGTGGCCATCTTTCTCACACAAACACAAACATGGCCAACTCTGCCAGGATTGTGGAACCAATTAAGTTTGTGAACATTTTTGGTATTTAGATAATGGTTTTCTATAAAAGATACTATGAAAAATAATTTCAGTCAGGCATGGTGGCATGTGCCTGCAATCCCAGCAATCTGGGAGGCTGAAGCAGACAGATCACAAGTTCATACCCATCCTGGGCAGCTTAGTGACTTAGTAATACCCTATCTCAAAATGAAAACCTTAAAAAAAGCACACAGACAGCCAGGTGTGGTGGCACATGCCTGTAATCCCAGCACTCAGGAGGCTGAGGCAGGAGGATCACCATGAGTTTGAGGCCAGCCCAAACTACACAGAAAGACCCTATTTCAAAAAAAAAAAAACAAAAAAGCACATGGCTGCTGGAGAATGGAGGAGTGACGTAGCTCAATGTGAAAGGTTCAGGGTTCAATACCCAGTATAGTACTAGTAAAAAATAAAATAAAATAAAAATTAATTTTAAATGGTTCTTTTTGATTTTTTAATGAGATTTCCAAAACATCTAAAATGACACGGGTGGCACATTGCACTTGCGCTGCACTGGTCTATGACACAACAGGGATACTTTTCTGCTCAGCCTCTGTGTTAGATCTTGGCTCTCCAAAGTTCTGGTCTCTGCTTTCGTCTCCCACCCCAACCCCACGTACCACAGGCTACAGTTAGCAGTCTAAATCGTAGAAAGTTTCGCACACATCAAATTTCCAAGATGGAGACAGTTCCAGAGGTGTATGTATTACAGGAGAGTAGGAAAAGAAAAATCAAATGATAGTGGCAAGGTAAGAAGGGCTAAGGTAAAAATAAAAAGTAATAATAAAGCCGGGCATGGTGGCGCACTCCTGTAATCCCAGCACTCAGGAGGCTGAGGCAGGAGGATCATTACAAGTTTGAGACCAGCCTGAGCTACAAAGTGAGCTCAAGGCCAGCCTGAACTGCATAGCAAGACCCTGTCTCAAAAAGATAAAAAAAAAAAAAATTATAAAAAAGGGGCCAAGGTAGAGGAAAATTCTGCTTCTGAACATGAACCCTTCTTTTCCAATGGACCCTGTGAGCCCTATGACTCTGGCAAACCCAAGCCAACTGCTTCTTCCCTTCTGTCACAAGGAGGGCGGAGAAGGAAGGCCAGAAGGCATTTATTACACCCAGCTCTGACCCCGTGAGAAGCTCAAGGGACCTCTGGGCATCAGGCAGGACCCAGCTCTTTGCCCCACTCTCTTTTCCGGGTTGAACTTGGCCTTGAAATTCCCCGCAGTGAGCAATCCACCTCCTCAGCACACAAAGGTCTCTGAAACGATGCTCCCGGGGACACACTCAGAAGAAATGGCACCCAAGAAAGGAAAGGGAGGAAAATATGTCACTGCAGGGTCAGAAAAGTTCTCTGCCTTCCGGCCATTTCTGCAAAAGCAGGTTATGGTCTGTATGTAAAGTGTCCCCCAGAAGCTCATATATTAAAGGCTTGGTCCCAGGGGAGCACTGCTCTGAGGTGGGGCCTTTGGGAAGGGGACCGGATCGTGAGGCTCTAACTTCACCTAATTCAGGTGGATGAATCCATCGGTGGGCGTACGAACTGTCGGCATTACTGTGAGGTGATGGAAACTGTAGAAGCTAGGCCTAATTAGAGGATGTAGGTCACTGGCAGTGTGCCCTGGATGGGTCTCTCCTCCCCCTCCCCCTCCTCCTCCCCATCCTCCTCCTGTTCTAATTCCCAGCTGCTACTGGCAAGCAGCTTCCCCCACTCACTCCTATGGCCAAGGTATTCAGCCTCTGCTCTGACCCAAAAGCAAGAAAGCCATAGAGCACTGGACTGAAATCTCCAAAACCATGACCCAAAAGACACCTTTTCTCCTACAAGTTGATTTTCTCAACTATCTTGTCATAGCAAGAGAAGCTGTGTAACAGCAGGATACACATTTGTAAACTGTAATTTTTCCCACTCAGTCACAATGGACAGGAGGGAGAAAGAGGGAGAGAGAGGGACACAGAGGGAGAGAGGGACAAAGAGGGAGAGAGAGAGAGAGACTGATTACAAAACAGTCCCCAAAAAGCAATTAAGCCAAACCTAGCAAAGGAAAAGAAAAAACCAGTACACCCCTGTAATCTCAGCACTGAGGGAGGCTGAGGCAGGAGGATCACAAGTTCAAGTCCCATTTGTGCCACTCAGGAGCACCGCTCTCAAAAATAAAAAGGGCTGGTGACGTAGCTCAGTGGTAGAGTACTTCTCGGTCCTACTGCCAATACCAGGGAAAAGCAAAAGCAAAGGCCAAACATCTTTGGGTTTACAGAACTGCATTTCAAGTCAGAACTACCACACACACCGAGTCACTGAACACTACTTATTGAAGACCTACTGTGAGCCAGGTACTACCGCTATACACTAAAGGAAACAAAGCCCCTTCCTGGTGCAGCCTATGGTGGGGAGGTAGGAGATGGGGCATACCGCGGCAATACAGGTGAGTTGCACAGCGCACTCGGCAACGAGCACACTGACAAGGAAGGGGAGATGCCAGGCACAGGGGAGCTGACGATGGGCGGACACAGGTGCGATTTTCACCCGGCCTTTCTGAGAAGTGGCACCACAGCCAAGACTTCCAGGAAGGGAGACAGCCCGGGCAACCCGAGCGCGCACCTGGCAACGTAAGAGGGCAGCCCCGGACCACAAAGGGGACAGGTCAGCCAGAAAAACACTGCAGGAGGTGAGGCGAACCGGGGCTGGGGGCTGGACAGCCCCTCGCTGTCATCACACAGGCTCCTGCTCCCGCTCCTCCCTCTGACACTCAGCTCCAGGCCTTGAAGGGGGTGGGGAGAGCAGGAAGACCGAGGCTCGAGGACTTCTAACTCCATTTTTCCTTTGCTTTGCTCCTTTTCGCTTTTTCCTGTAGTCACTACAAGCAGCAGTGATAGTCACTGAGGTTAAAAAAAACAATCCAGCCATTTTCCTTTCTGTTACCAATTATTGACATGAAAAAAAGCACCCTATTTCCTTTTTCTTTCAACTTCCAGACCAGAATCAACTATGCACTCTGTTACACAGGAAAGCTCAACCGTGATTAACACAGTCCAGGGTTTATGACTCCCTCTGACCTGCAGATGCAAAGGGACACTGATATCTTAACCAAGGCCCAACACAAGAACATGAGATTCTCCTCAGGTTATTAGGAGGATGGCAAGCTGTCTACTCAAAGGTTTCCTTCAGGTTAAGAGTCAGGCTTTACATCCGAGTTGGGGTCCGCTGGGTAATGATCAGAAATTCA